CTCGCAGGCACCAATACCATTAGGCAGGACGAACTTGCGACTAAGAGCGCTAAGGAGCTTGCGGGCCCCCATGTGAGCATGTGTTCGGGAGAGGAAATCTCTCAGGTGCTGCCAGTATTTAACGAGGAACTGAGAGGAGATCCTCCAATTAGATGGACTCCTCCCAGGCTGAATCCAAACGACGTGCGCATATATAAGGAATGGATCAGCGATCGACTCCAAGACGGATCGATCATACCGATTAGAAGGGAATATGTTAAGGCTATACTTAACCCATACGTTGTAGGGTCGAGAGTTACGCACAACTGCCAGATACTATACCCTTATACCAACAAAGACGGGAAGTTCCCAAGCACGCAGGCGATCGGGCCAGTAGTGGCATGGGCCATGGGGCAGAGAATCCTTGCTAAAATAGATCTCTCGAAAGCCTTCCATGCGGTTCCGTTGAGGAACCACCAACGGCCATACTATAGCTTCCTGGACCCGGCGGGTAACAGCTATTGTTACGCGAGAATGCCGATGGGTGCGAAAACGGCGCCTAAACACTTTGCGCAAGTAATGAATCTCGTCTTAAGTCAGCTCGAAACGAACGACCAAATAAACGTTAGATCATATCAAGATGACATCGTTGTGGCGGCGAATTCAAGAGCTGAGTTAATCCAGAGGTACGATAGAATATGCGATCATCTCAAAGCCAGCGGGTTTAAGATAAACCCCAATAAGTCATCAAAAGCGGAGAACCTAGATATTCTAGGTTACCGATTTGAGCAAGGCAAAGTTACGATACCAAGAGAGAAAGAGGCAGCTATTCGTTCGGCCCTGCTGGGTAAAGACATAAAACAAGTTATCCGTGCGACCCATCAGTTGGGTTACTACAAGGTTATTCTTTCACCCTCGCAACGTGATTCGGCGGCCAAACTCAGGCAAATACTGCTCAAAGTGGGGCACTTCACACAAGTCGCTAGGGACTTACGTACAGCCCTAGACGTAAAATGGGAGTGCCCTAGAGAAACGCCTTGGGAAGCCAAGCGAATCGAGATATTTGTAGATGCGTCCGATACAGCCGCGGGGCTGCACGTACGATACAATGGAAACTGTGTTCTCGAAGAGGCACTGCCATTGACACATACTGTTACTAACCTTGCCTCGTTCAAGGAGATTCAGGGAGCTTATAAGCTCTTGGTAAAGTACAGGACGCACATTCAACATATCGATGCGAAATGCGAGAAGGTGATTCTAACTGACAACCTAAGGTTGTATCAAGCGTTAATTCGTGGCGAGGAGCCGAGGAACGATCTTGAAATCTACGCGGCCAGGATCAGGCAACTCTATAGAGCTAAGTACGCCTATATTCCAGGAGGCCTCAACCCGGCCGACGATTTCTCGAGGAGACGGCGTCTCCCGCCTTAAAAAGATTTTTATTTTAAACTAAAATAATTTTTCAAACTCTGAAAAGCTTTGGCAACACTGATCAATCTGTACTAATAATCGAACATTGAACCTATATCACAATGGTGCAAACGCGCTCCAATACCGACCCTGAGCAGGTCTATGCTGAGTTCTTCCGCAAGTGCAAGGAAGAGAAGATCCTAGATATGTCGCTCTTTCAATTAATCCCAATCAAGCTACTTGAGACACGGGCTCTCGAAAAGAAGATTGCCCTGGAAGACCTAGTCGAAGTTAGAGACAAATACTTAGAGACATGTCATCCCGACTGGGTCCGTAAGTTTCGTACATTGGTGAGTGAGCTGCAAAAGAAGGCAATACCGCAACTTGACCTAACGCCGCTGCTAACGACGAGAGAGTTCAGAGAGGCACAGAGAAATGGGCCTCCGACGTTTTCAAAACAGAACTCGACCTCGTCGGTTTCGAAGTCGTACGCGGCACCACCAATGCCCGCAAGACGCCCGATACAGCCGCGAGGCCTAGAAGAAGTCATGCAGGATGACTCATCGGTATATAGCAGCCTTGACTCCGCTCCGCATAGAAGAGAGAGAGAACAGACCTACGGATTTGAAGCGGTAGAAGACATAGAGAGCTTGATGTTCGATCCCATGTCCCTGATCGCCCAACTGAAGCGTAAGAAGGCAAGTATCCCGAAACTCTTTGAGATGAAGCTACGCATAATATCACAAGCCATCTACCATCCCACAATAGAGAATTCGGAGCTGTTGATCGATGCCTTAGATACAATTCGCAACGAAGGCGTGATATCGCAGAGACAGAGGGACCGACTGTTGATTTCCATCATAGCGTACGGTAAAGACGCGACAATGAAGAGAGGTCGCCCCGCCCGGAGGTACACCATACTCACTAAGTCGTAACGCCCAGCGTTGAAGACGACCGGTCTTTGCTTCGAGTAACCACTTGAGAGACGAATGGTCGGTGCGAACCATAAAGCCTCCAGCGGCACCAAGGACAAATGGTCTGAACTTCTCAAGCGCCCAGATAATGGCAAGGGCTTCCTTCTCTCGTATATGCCATTTTCGTTCGGCGGCAGTGAACTTGCGAGACTCCAGTGAAACGATGCGCTCAGTGCCAGCAGGGTCAAGTTGCGACAGGATACAACCCATGCCTATCTCTGAAGCATCACAATCGACTATAAAGGGTCAAGTGAAGTCCGGGTGAGCTTGC